CTTGTCTTCCCCTTCCCCTGATGAGCCTAGTTTAAAGCCCGCTGGAGGAGGTCCACCAATCTAGAAGAAAACACACGCTTACCTTTGGTGGAAAGGTGGAGCCCATCCCATCCAAGGAAAGGTGGAGCCCATCCCATCCACGATCCTTGAAGAACAAAAGAAGTCCATTCCCATGTGGAGGAAAGGCAGCAGAAGGGCTGGTAAGCCCTTTTGGCTTAATGGGGATATCACACTTCTCTTGAAAAAGAAAAAAAAAGCTGGCTGCAGGGTAGGACCCAGAGAGTTCTAATGAACAGATCTGTGCCATCCCAGTGAGAAGTGGCCAGTAGTATCCCTCAGGGGTCCATGCTTGGTCTAGTACTTTTTAACATCATTATCAATGATCTGGATGTGCGGGTGAAGAGCTCACTGGCCAAGTTTGTAGATGACACCAAGTTATGGGGGAGCGTGGTCACACTTGAAAATAGGCTGCAGATGCAGGTGGACCTAGACAGGCTGGCAAGTTGGATGGATCAGAACCAGATGAATTTCAACACTGAGAAGTGTAAAGTGATCCATCTGGGGATGAACAATCCCCAACATACTTACAGGCTTGGTGGTGCCAAACAGATTAGCACCATGACTGAAAGGGACCTAGGGGTAGTAATAGACCATTGTATGAACATGAGCTGTCAATACAATGCTGTAGCTAGCAGGGCAAACAATACTCAGGCATGCATCAACCGATGCATGTCAAACAAAACCAAGGAAGTGATTCTTCCACTTCACTCAGCATTGGTGAGAACGCAGTTGGAGTATTGCATCCAGTTCTGGGCACAGCACTTCAACAAGGATGTGGAAAAGCTTGAGAGAGTCCAAAGAAGAGCCACTCATATGATCAGAGACTTGCAAGGCTTATGAGGAAAGGCTGAGGGACTTGCATGGGCAACTGGTGCTGCCTTAATTGGGGTGGCACATGCCCCCCCCACGACCAGTCCCCCCACGGCTGATCTCACTCCCCGGGGGGAGGTCCCCCCCATGGCCAAACCCACCGACCAGGAGGGAGAGGTCCCCCCCACGGCCAATCCTGCTGACCAGGGTGGGGTCCCCTCCGCAGCCGATCTCACTGCCTGGGGGGGGACCCCTGTGGCTGATTGCTATGGCTGATCACTGCAGCCACTTCTGGGAATGGCCACGGTCAATTCTGGGATTGGCTGCAGCAATTGGTCGATGCTTGCAAGGGGGGCACTGGCATTCCTACCTTTGCCCATAGCCTAAGCAGTGAGTGCAGCTGGTCAGGGGATGAACCAGCGTTTTCAGGGGGTGTGCATGCACCCCTGTGCACTCACTATGCATTGCCACTGGGGACTTGGGTCTCTTCAGCCTAAAAAAGAGAAGGCTGAGGGGATTTGGTAACAGTTTACAGCTATATCAGGGGAATACATCAAGGGCTCAGTGAACAACTGTTCACAAGGGCACCCTTGGGGAAAAACAGGAGTAATGGCCACAAATTCCTGGAAGATCGTTTTAGGCTTAATGCTAGGAAAAACTTCTTCACTCCAATTATCTTTCCTGCTTAGTACAGGGGGCCTGGACCAGATAATCTTGTGAGGTCCCTTCCAGCCCCTTGCAATCTATAAATCTATGGATCTATGACTATATTTATTCTAGGAAACAAATTAATTTGGATATTGCTGACTTATAATCAACTTTTAAGACTGAAAAACTTGTTTATGTTGCTTAGAACTGATTTACCTTTAAAAATTAAGTAGCAAAAGGAGCTATTACAAAACAGAATTTGCTAAGCAGCTGTTCAATGTTATTTTTAATATTTTTGTTTGAAACAAATTTCATGTTTAAAGTAACATTTTTAAAACTGGCAGGTAAACCAAAGCAGTATTTGGATGGCACTGAAAATATAAAATTTGTTTACTTTAAACTATTAATTATTGTGAGCTGAAGAAACACTTCATTCTGTTATTTAAATACATGCTTGGTGTAAAGTGCTCATATTAATCAGTTTGTATTTCCAGAGCAAAGGTATGCAGGCTATTTAGTCTTCTTGCCTCATGTTCAAACTAATATAGTTGGTGTATTTGATAGTAATATATGAAGGCATACAAATCATTTTAGATCACATGGGCCAATTAAATGAAAATACTATTTAGGATCCGATCTAGTGAAGCGCAGCATTCTTCCTGAAAAGCATTTGTCATCCTTAACTCCCAATAATTTTCATAGCACCTTAGTGCCACACCTTCTGTAGCTCTAAATAATTAAGTAAAGCATATCAAATTTATCTGTGTTTACTGATTGCATCACAGCTGTTGGGACAATAGCAACAAATTGTTAACATCATATTTGACTGTGGAGGAAGGACAGTCTTATGGTTAAAGAAAAAGATTGGGAGACTGGTGACTTTATTTAAGTCATTCAGCTCTCTTATTCCTTCTCTAGTTGTAAAATGAGGATATTTATACAGCATGTGGTTACTTCACAGGAGTTATATGAGGTGTCTTTAATACCGATTAAAAAAAATTAACGTCCTGAGATGGAAGGTAATAGATAACTTCAAAATGCTACATTGTCTGACAAAAATAATAGGTGTCCAGTTAATTAGCAGACAAAATAAATTTACAGAGGTTTTTATTCTTTTAATAAATATTAGACAACATGAGGATAATATAATTAATACCAGCTTGTTTCCTTCTACTTTTAGTGAATTAAATACTACTAATAGTATATATTGATACATGATGTATCCATGAGCCCCATTCTTTTTTGCTTTCAGGTGAGGACTGTGATATTGACATAAATGACTGTGACAGCAACCCATGTCATCATGCTGGAACTTGTATAGACCAACCCAACGGTTATAATTGCCATTGTCCACATGGCTGGGTTGGAGCAAATTGTGAAATACGTAAGTATTATAGAGACTGCTTTTATTATTTTTTAATATAATTTTAACATAAATGTAGTTGGTTGTCCTGAAGATTCATAAAAATGATGCCAAAATAGTAGTGAAAGAAGCTGTATGGCAAGGGTGTCAAACTCATCTCGCTTTGCATGTCAGGTGAGTGGCACAGAGCCAGTCCACAGGCCAGATCAGGTCCATGGACCCCTCTTCCCACTGCCTAATCCAACACATGTGGCACCCTCCCAGGCCAGTCCAGGACACAGGTTTAAGTGAGCTCTGCAGGTGATGCAGCCCAGGACTGGCACCAGCAAACTCCTTGAGCACTGAGGCCTGGGACCCTTCCCCAGTGAGCACTGCAGGCAGCACAGAGCTAATCCAGGGCAGCACTGGCAACCAGATTATGGGGCTCCGGGGGCCAGATCTGGCCTCCGGGCTGTATGTTTGACACCCCTTTTATAGGTACTTCTTAAACAATAACTACAATATGTATAATGTAACAAAATGATTAAAGGTAAATCAGCACAAAATGATGGTTTAAACTAAAATTTTAAAAATAGCCACCAATATTGGGCCATACTATTTCTGGGTGCCTAATTTTGAGGTATCTTAGAGCACCCATAAGAGTAGCGGAAGTCGATATGAGCTGTAAATGCTCAGAACCTGGCCCAAAGTGTTTAAGTAGATGGCCATTTTTGATAATTTGGCATATATATCCAGTGGTGACAAAACTTAATATGGCACTTATGAGTATGATTTAACTGAGTTAACATAAAACTTATACCTCTGATTTTCAGTGATTCCCATTTATTTTTGAGTACCTGTAATTCCAGTTGTACTTCTGCAGAGCATATTTTTATTGCAGTGATGTCTTCCCTATGGTCTTTGACAGCAGTTTCTTCTCCTTTACTAGCAGTTTAATTACATATTTGAGTATTTTGTTTTCAGGTATTTTGGTGATAGGTCTCCTCAAAACACTAGATAGCTCATTTATTGAACAAGGGAAGGGATTCAAGCAAATTAGTTTCTGCATTAGTGGGAACATGGCTGATTGTCCATTTACCAGTATTCCAAAAAACAGAGTTAGCCAAGAAGTAGGTGCATAGTTAAGCACCTTATTTAGACACCTCATCTGCATGATGAGGATCCTATTTAGATGCCAGGCTTCTAAGGAATGCCTGCTTTCTACCTACACTCCTTTCCTCTTTTAAGTGTTGTGCCTTCTGACTTTGCTGCACTTAGACAATGCTGAAAGCTTGCCCACACCTTCCCTCAAATGTTATCTCTGTTCACACAAATGCTGGACCACAACTGTGATCTTATGCAAGAACTCACTGGATTAAAGCAACTTTTAATTTTCCTTTATTTGTTAGTGATGAATTCAGTTTAGTTAATGAATTATGGTACAGCACAAATACAAATGGATAAAGGCAGAAGACTGTCTGTATTAACCATGCTAAGGCCTCAGTTGCATCTGGCTGCTGTTTAGAATCCTTTCCGGAGTTCGAGTCTTTTGTGAAGTCTGTTGCATAACCTTGATTTCAGCTGAGCGAAGGAGGGCTATTGCCAAGTTCCTACCTTTAGTTTGAAGACGGTAAAAACAGCTTTTTGAAAGAATGTTGCAGGCACTGCAGTCCTGGGACTTCTCCATCCTGGGGCCTGATGCACTCATGCCATAGAGGTGATTCTCCCAAAGCAGAGATGACCCTTCAGTGGTAAGTCTGAGAGGGCTGCTTAGGCATAATGATGCCTTAAACAGGCTTATCTGCTTAATCAGTAAGACAATGCAATTCTGAGTGGTAGTGGCTTCCTTAGGCAGTAGGTAATACATTGACAGACAAATGAGTAATTTTCTAGAAATGCCTCCCTTGTGGTGCCTTCGTACATTATGGCTAGATGGAGACATTCAAGAAGCCCAAGTCAGAATCAGTCTAAATTATGTGGTTTTCTGTAGTATAGATCAGTTGGTGGTGGGGTGGGGGGAAGGAATCTTCAACTGGGTTCTGCCATTTTTAAACTAATCTATGTACACTGAACTTCTGTTCTGTTATGAGTAGAGACTGGTTTTGTGTTCCAAGCTTCTGTTCTGTTACAGGTATAGGCTGGTTTCTTATCACTGATACCAGTAAAAGTGTAATGTCTGTACGTGGCCTACATGTCTGTAATAGGGTGAAAAAGAAAACAGGTAGAACAAGAAACTTCCTGGGAGCTGTGGAGATGAGGTATAAAATCAGTATAATTCATTTTAGGATGCCATATCCAGAATTCTAGATTCACCAAGAGGTTGGTCTTTTACACTGCAAGCACAGAATGGTATGTACCTAAGTGCAAATATGGGCAGAACAGACAGCTTTACTGGCTGAATGGCTGAAAAAATATTTCCCCCTGGAGTTAACCCTCTGACAGCAGCATGTCACTAAGTGCTATATTAATATTTTGAGGTTCATGTGTAAGCCTATAAGTACTCTGACATCCACTCTGCCCCCTTACCTCATTTGTAAATTAGCAAATAAAGGAATGGATGAGCATAGAGCTGGAGACTTCCTTCTGCAGAATGGAGAGGGGAAGGGATAACAGCTGTTATTATCTAGTGCTTAATTCTGATGATGGCTGATAGGGGTGTGCAAAGCAGGCCCTATTCAATTTAGTTTCGGCCTGAATCGGGGACAGTGATTCAATTTGTTGATTCAGATCGCTGTCCCTGATTTGATTCGGCTGAATCCGAATCTGAAGATTCGATGCCGATTCAGAGAATCAGCAATTCAGACACAGACACAGCTTTAAATGTTTTTTCTATATACTTTGAGGTACCAGCGTGGCTTGTGAATGCTGCAATGCTGGGGTGGATGGAGTGTCCTACAGGAACACGGCAGGGGGCCCTCCACATGCTTGGTGGTGAACCTGGAAGTGGACCAGAAATACCTCCGGTCCACTTCCGGGTCCGCTGGGGAGTGCACTGGGGAGTCCTCCACACTTCTGTGGGACACTCCAGGTGCCCTAGCATCACAGCATTCACAAGCCGCCTGCTACCTAGAGGTAAGTTGAAAAAACATTTAAAGCTGTGTATATGTCCAAATCTCTGAATCTTTCTCAATCTCTCCGAATCAATTCGGAGGATTCTGATTCGATTTGAAGAGATTAAAGGGTCTTCTGATTTGATTCGGATTCGGAGATTCGGCCACTGAATCAGACCGAATCTCCACTGAATTGAATCAAGGACCAAAACTTCACACAGCCCTAATACCTGAAGTGCAGCAGCCTAGACTACTGTGCAAATACTTGCAAGATCAAAGGCTTTATAATGACTGTTTTATTACAGCCATGTGAAACAATGCAAATACAGATAATGGGAACAAACATTGTCTTTCTGAAACCTCTGTGCTCAGGGTGGATGGCAGTGGGGCAGGCAGTGGTGGTTCTGGGAGGGATGGCTATGGGGTCAGCTATAGGCACCCCAAAATTCCCCATAGCCACCCAGAACTGCTGCTACCCACCCTGCCCCCACCCCGAACACAGCCCCAGCTCAGCAGTGGGCAGCGCCAGGAAGAGGCCCTGGCCCTGAGCCTGCAGTGGGCAGACTGCCCTTGCTCCGTGCACAAATTTTGGGGAGGGGCCTGCCCCCCATGCCTCCTTTGGGGGTGCGTGCGGTGGCAGGGAGCCACCCCCCTGTGTCCCTTCCTGCCCCTCCCTGCCTCCTGGATGAGCCATCTGCACCTCTGTCCTGCTCCCAGGGTCACATTTACCACCCTGGCTGGGCAGGACCAGCCCCTGCCCCTGTCGCTGCCCCACTCCCTCCCTCACCATGGGAGCCTCAACCTATCCCCGCCACACCCCTTTTTTCTCCCATGTGCCTTCTCCCCACCCCCTCCGACTTACTGGCAGGAGGCTGCTCTCCAAGCTGCCTGGCTGCATTTCTGGCTGCGTGCATGCTTTGGGTGTGCCCATGCATGCAACATTTATCAGTGACATCATTAGCTACACAGGCCAAAAAAAGCCAATTGCTGATAATGTTAATTTTCCTGTCATCAGTGCTGCTGATCTGATATGCCACTAATATATTGGTGCACCTCTAGTTATAAATGGATGTAACCTAGATATGAGCCAATTTTGCACTGTCTGAGTTTGGTCCATCTAATTTCATATCTCAATGAATACATCTCAGTTTCAGCTGTCACAACCTTCTTCTCAAAGCTATGTATGTTATCCATCACACAGCCTCAGCAGTTTGCACATACCGATGAATACTAGCTTGGAAATAAAATTGAATGCTGCACTAGTATTTCCAGCTGATCCAGTCCCCTGACATACCTGACGAAAACACATGTTGAAACCAAACTTCAGATTTTCCCACAAAACAGAATGTTCTGCTGTAACTAAGTCTCATATTTGTAAACTGATCAGTTTTACATATTGCCGTTTTATACTGTGAGTCATACAGGAGTCTGGTAAGTTGTGCATTATTTAATCTTTTTTCAGAGTAACTTTCTGTCTAAAATTGGCATTTTTACTAGTAGCATTTCAGTGTTAAGGCTGCCTGTCATACTGTGTCCTTTACTTACCTTCCAACTGTTCTCCAGACAATGAACTAGTTGAGAGAGAAATAATTTGCCTAGCAAGAAAACTTGTATATATACATTATATTATCATATCACCTACCCTAGTGATTGCAATTTGTATTGAAGAACAATGTAATTAACTCAACACTAGGGACACTACAACCTTTCTTACAAAAAGGAAAATTTTAATGTGAAGTTCCCTTGGCCAATAAGATAGAGGAGGGTTTTAGTCTAAAACTGTATAAACCATGCAGATTAGCAGATTAGCAGTCACCACTGATACCATTTCAGTTTCTATGGGTATAAATAATTCAATTAGCAGGGAAAGTTAAGTTATGTCATGCAGAGAAGATGAATTTACAGGGTTTTTCTAGTAGAATGAGTGTGCCTATCAGAACCTCAAATTTTACTGAATCTTGCATCTTAATTCCTGTGAGACTGCAAAAGCTA